ATCAAAATACTTGCTAATTAACTGGGGTAAAAGTCTTATATCCTACAGAACCGACCCAGCAACTGCCACCACCAGCTGATCAGGGCGATGGACTGTGCTGGGCCCTGTACTTGCTAGTACATACAAGGATCTGGTCTGGGAACACCTCAAAGTCTCTTTGGGAATTTCCCCAATTGAACTGCCAGACGTAGAACCCTAACCATGAAAAGACAGAGGACAAAAGTTGGCAGTGAAAAACTGGGCAAACAGAGACTATCCACCTTTACCTCAAATACATGAAGGAAACAATATAGAAATAATAGTCTTACCCACTTTCCTGTAGCCCTTGAACCTTTATACCCTAATTAGCTATGTAAAGATTGTCAGAAATATAATTTAAAAAATGGAAAAAAAAGTCTTATACCTTCTTTCATGCTGAAAAAACTTACCAATAAATATAAATGGAAAAACAATCTGTGTTCATAGATTCAAAGACTTAGTATTTCTATCTGTGGTCAACATTATCCAAATCAATACAGTCAATATATTCTTTACCCAGATTATAGTGCTATCCAATATTATCATTACCCAGATTCAATACAATCCTTCTCAGGATCGCAATTGTGCTTTTTGGCAGAAACAAAAAACTCTATCCTAAAATTCAGGGGTCCAAATAGATAAAACCAACTTGAAAAAGACAAAAAAGAACAAAGCCAGACATTGTACTTCCTAGCTTCAAAACTTACCACAAAGCTATAATAATCAAATCAGTTTAGTACCAGTATACGGACAGACACATAGACCAATGAAATAAACAGCCCAGAATTAAGTTCTAAGATACGTAATAAAGCCTTTTCAACAAGGTGGTGCCAGGATCATTCAAAGGGGAAAAGCACACTGTTCTGGGAAAACTGGATGTCCCCAAACAAAATGAACCTGAATCCTTACAAAATACCAGATGCAAACATTAACTCAAAATCGATCAAAGACCTAAATTTAACATTTAATAATGTAAAATTATTTCAAGAAGACAAAAAAAAAAAAAACCCACATGGCAACTACTTCTTGGCTATGATACCAATAGCACAAGCCACAAAGCAAAAACTGACAACCTGAACTTCATGAAAGATCTCTACCTATTCTCAGCCTTTCAAACAAATCTGTAAGAAAGAAGGAGGACTCAATTAAGTGCCCAGGAATGCAGACTGCTTGCATCACAAAAGGCAGCTTTCACCTGCTGGATCACAGTGCCAGCCCCTGTATCAAGCCTTTCACATAAAACACAAAAGGAATTAAAAAAATTATCAAAATCCTTTCTTCAAGTCCCCCCACTCTGTGATACAAGTAAACTGTTACCTAAAATCATCCTCTGCAGCGTAACAGCAAAATTTCTTACTTCCTTCTAACCTGTTAGTACCTGCTGATCCACTTTTCCCCAGACCTCATGGGATTAAGAGGCACCAGGCTTCTCTACTTAGCCTCTTCCATGTGCTGGCTATTGGCAATCAGAACAGAACCCACACTAAAAAATGAATTTGCTGGTACCTTCATCTTAAATGCCTAACCTTTAAAACTATGAAAAGTGTTGCCTAAGCCACCTAATCCACTATATTTTTGCTATAACCTAAACGAAAACAGCTAATATTTAAAAACGAAATCAAAGTCAAAAGCAAAAAACAAGTGTTGGCTACGATATGGAAATAATCCAAGTGCCCATGAATGGATGAATAAACAAATTATTATTTCCCCACTAACACAGACATATGAATATGCAGTTTTTCTTTCTTGGAAAAGTAGTTTTACAGAGAGGAGAGACAAAGATCCTCCATCTGCTGGTTCATTCCCCAAACAGCCACAACAGCCAGAGTTGAGCTGATGCAAAGCCAGGAGCCAGAAGCTGCCTCCCAGTCTCCTATACAGGTGGCAGGATCCAAAGTCTTTGGACCATCCTCAACTGCTCTGCCAGGCTACAAACACGGAACTGGAAGAGATGTGGAGCAGCCGACACAAACCAGCAACCCTATGGGATCCAAGTGGTTGCAAGGCAAAGATTTAGCCCTGAATACGCAGTCTTAAAAGAAAGAAAGAAAGAAAAACAATTATTTTTATTGAAAAAGCAGATATACAGAAAAAAAAAGAGCAACAGAGGAAGATCTTCCATCCTCAGGTTCAAGAGGCCACAATGACCGGAGCTGAGCCAGTCTGGAGCTGGGAGCTTTCTTCAGGTCTTCCACATGGGTGCAGGGCCCCAAGGCGACTGCTTTCCCAGGACACAAGCAGGGAACTGGATGGGAAGCAAGACCACCAGCACATGAACTGGCACCCATATGGGATCCTGGCAGTTGCAAGGCAAGGACTTTAGCCACTAGGCTGCAAGGCTACCACACCAGATCCTGAATATAGTCTTAAAAACTTAAAAGGAAAGTGTGATACAAGCTACAAGGATGAACTTTGAAATTATACGGTTAAATGGAATAAGTCAGATAAAAATGAACAAATACTATAGCCCTCTACTTTTTTGAGGCCCCATATATAGCTCAACTGCCTAATCCTCATTCTCCAAGCACCAGGATTCCAAACCGGTACCGGATGCCATCCTGGCTGTTCCACTTCCCATCCAACCCCCTGCTTGTGGCCTCAGAAAATGGTGGAGGATAGCCTTGGGTCCCTGCACCCATATGGGAGAACTGGAAGAAGCTCCTGCCTCGCTCCTGGTTTTGGATTGGTCCAGCTCCAGCCACTGTGGCTATGTCAGGAATAAAGCAGAAGATGGAAGATCTTTCTGTCTCTCCCTCTCTCTGTAAATCTGCCTTTCCAAAAAATAAATAAAATCAATAAAATCCTAAAAGAAAAGTTACTGTTTAATGGGAACAGAGTTTCTACATGAGATGATGCTCTGGAGTTTGACAACAGTTAACAGTTGAACAACAGCTCCAAAGCACATAAAGTACTCAGTGCATCCCGTATTTAAAAACAGCTAAAATGGAGTCAGTATTTGGAACAGTGGTATAAGCTCTGCTTGGGAACCAGCAGCCATCCAAGTGTCAATGTTTGGGCTCTGACTCCAATTCCAATTCCAGCTTCCTGCCAACAATGCACCCTGGGAGGCAGTAGGTTTTAGCCCTAGTTAGGTCACTGACATTTTTTTCCCCTTCATGGAAGACCTAGACAGTTCCTGGTTTGTGGCTTCTGCCTGTCCCAACCCTGGTTACTGCAGATATTTGGGGAGTGAATCAAGAGATGAAAGACCTCTCTCTCTCCCTCTTTAATAAATCTTTTTAAAAACCAAATGGTGGGCCCAGCAGCGTGGCCTGCCGGCTAAAATCCTCGGCTTGAACGCCCCGGGATCCCATATGGGTGCCGGTTCTAATCCCGGCAGCTCCACTTCCCATCCAGCTCCCTGCTTGTGGCCTGGGAAAGCAGTGGAGGATGGCCCAAAGCTTTGGGACCCTCCCGGCTTCGGATTGGCACAGCACCGGCCATTGCGGCTCACTTGGGGAGTGAATCATTGGACAGAGGATCTTCCTCTCTATCTCTCCTCTTCTCTGTGTATCTGGCTTTCCAATAAATAAATAAATCTTAAAAATAAATAAATAAATAAATTAATTAAATAAAAGCCAAATGGCGATAATGACTTTATATTATACATACATTTTACCCAAGTAAACCAACCAAAAAAATACACATATCACCCCGTCTCCCCAAAACAAATTTTCAGGAATGCAGAGTATCAAGAGTCCAACACTTTCCATTTCCTTTCTTCTTTAAAGTTAGGGTGACTCTAAACACAAAAATCCGGAAACTAGAATCACTGTAAAGTAAATGCTACTTAGGACATCTAGGTCCCATGACTCTCCAAAGGATTAATTTCCCAGACTATGCCCCATTTTGGCTACCATGTGAATTGCCTCAAGTGCAATTTTTCTGAAGGCTGTTACTTTCAATGAATTCCAGATTGCGAAAATGTATACAGTATTTATACATGAGCTGTTTAATTTTGTTTGATCAAAGTATGAGTTTATTGGAGATAAACTTATTCTATAATCTCCTTCGCTTTCTAATGGACAACAGAACATTCTATCTATACACCCTGGTATGACTAGGTGATATAAAACCTAGTATTAATAATCTGAAAGCTTGAATACACAAATTATTTTCCTTATAATGAAAATCTTTGTATCATTTACAAATCATAGGATATTTTAGCACACAATTAAAATTACATCTTATTCAATCTACTTCTGTTACATTTACAAATAAACCAATGAAATAACTGAACTTTCAGAATTAAAACAGAGACCAGATTCTTCTGCACAGACCAGTTTCCTAACTGACGTGGATACATTTCAAATAGAATTGGTTCTATAATGTCAAGATACCTCACGTAGATATAGAACATTCACATAAAATAGGAAAAAAAAGTATATTTTAAAGAACAGCATTGATAGTATTACTAAACTTAATGATACTGCTAAGTTTTTTCAAACCACAAAACTCTGCACATAATAGTTTATAATTTTAAAATATCAATTATTTTTGAAAGTCACGCATTCTCCAAACTTTTCAAAAACACAAATATTTATAAAGTATTCATAGCTACATATTTAACAGGTATGAAAATATTTCATTGAGTTAGTTAGAAATTGGAGAATTAAGGATAACAAATAAGATAGGTGCTTATTTACTATGACAAAATTTTTAAACACTGCTATGCTTTCTTCAATTCTGAGATATGAATGTAAAATATTAAAGCATTCTTTCACTAACAGAATCATGAAGTTTATAAGCCACGTGTATATACTGGTAGGAATATTAAAACATCCTTTCAATCTTGAATGTAGTTAAGACTGCTTTATGAAACTTCTAAATTATACCGACAGAATAACTATAAATCAGAATATATTATTAAAATAATTACACTGAACACATCATTTAAAAGGAATATATATCTAATTTTATACATCAAGAACATATATAATTCAATACAGATATATACACTGACATAAACAGCATTTTCTTACCTCTGAATTTATCTCTGTGCCTTGTGTCTGGCTTTGCTGATGCTTTTGGTGTCCTGTCAGCAGGCCTCCTGCAGCCGGATTTGGATAGCCCTGAGACCCAGGGAAATTTCCTTCTACAATTGACTGTTTCTCTTGAGTATTACCGTGCCCGGGCCCTGGATGTCCACCAATGTGTTGATTTGGAAAGGATGGTAGCATGCCCATTCTACCTGTTGTTAAAGAGTTTCAATCAGTATAGATACTGTAGTGAACTATAAATGATAAAAGGCTTTTGGTTAGACAAGATTCAAATAGTTCTCTTTATGTTACAGGCAAAATATGGAGAAACCTATTTTGTACTTATGAGAGAATAGCTAAAATCAGAAAGTGAGTTCAGAAGTTAAGTTCTTCCATGACAAAAAATTAGTAAAGATGTTTTTAGTTTCAATAACTTGAATATATAAATATGCTTAATCATATTTATTTTTTTTTAATCTTTAAGCTAAGCACAAGGTCTGCTTTGTGACATTTAAGTTACATTTATCTTTGGAAAGAATAATTAAATGTGTTCAGGTTAGGAGCTCTCTAGGAACAGGCCTTATTAAACCAAGGGAAGCCACTGCTTGGGATCTCAGCACCTCATATTACAATGTCAGTGTTGAGCCCCAGCTACTCCGCTTCTGCTTCAGATTTTGTACAAGTCCCTAGGAAGCACTAATGGACAGATCTGGGAAGATCCAGATAGAGTTACTGGTTCCCAGCTGCAATCTCACCCAGATGGAAGGTAACCATGTGCACTCCTTCTTTGGATGGCGGGTGGTGGAGGTAGTGATGTGTGTGTCTCTCTTTCAAATAAATAAATAAATCTTAATAAAGTTTTATTAAAACCAACAATAAATTTGCTTAGCTGTCTGCAGCAGCTAATGAGACAATTATATGCTTATCTCTTTCCAATTACCAGGTTCAATGACTTAAAGGCTGACTTAAAATCAGCCTACATATCAAGACTTCATTTTCACTTAATGTTATTTTTCTTGTTAATCAGTATTTGTGAATAAGCATTAAATGTGAAATCTAAAAAATTAACACTTTACTTATGGAAATAAGAACTTTTTTTTTAAGATTTATTTATTTTTTATTACAAAGTCAGATATACAGATAGGAGGAGAGACAGAGAAGAAGATCTTCCATCCGATAATTCACTCCCCAAGTGAGCCACAACGGCCAGTGCTGTGCCGATCTGAAGCCAGGAACCAGGGAACCTCCTCTGGGTCTCCCACACAGGTGCAGGGTCCCAAAGCTTTGGACCATCCTCCACTGCTTTCCCAGGTCACAAGCAGGGAGCTGGATGGGAAGTGGAGCTGCCGGGATTAGAACCGGCACCCATATGGGATCCTGGAGTGTTCAAGCCGAGGACTTTAGCCGGCAGGCCACACTGCCGGGCCCCAGGAAATAAGAACTTCTGAAAAAATTCAAGTTTACTTTGGAACCATTCCACTTCATAAAAATCAGTAAGTCAATGGGGTAGTGTTGTAGCACGGCCAGTTTAGTCACTGCCAATGACACTACCATCCCATACTGGAGCACTGATTTGAGTCTTGGCTGTTCCGCTTCCACTCCAAAATCCCTGCTAATGTGCCTGGAAAAGCAGAGGAAGTCAAACCAAATACTTGGGACCCTGTCATCCAAGTAAGAGACCAAGATAGACTTCTGGGCTGCAGGATGCCACCTGAACCAGCCCCAGCCACTGCTGCCATTTGGAGAATGAATCAGGAAATAGAAGATCTCTGTCTATCCCTTTCAAAATCTTTCAATAAGAGAAAATAGATGCCAATACTGTGGTACAATGGGTTAAACTATTGCCAGTAGTATTGCTATCCCTTTTAAGGGCTGGTTGCAGTCTGAGCTACTCCACTTCCAGTTCAGCTCCCTGGTAATATAACTGCAAAGGCAGAAAAAGGCCCAAGTATGCAGATCCATGAAACCCATGTGGAAGACCTAGAAGTTCCAGGCTCTTGACTTCAGTCTGGTCCACCCTGGGCCATTCTGGGAGTGAACCAGAAAATGAAATATCTCTTTCTTCTCTGCCACCCTCTCCCCCACCACAATTACACTCTTCAATAAATGTTTTGCTGAAACAAAAACATAAGTCTTTTTACTGCAATGTAAATCAAAAATGTATTCTCATAAACTAAAATAATAATAAACATGGAGATAAGACACTTTATTTCTTCTTTTACATTTATTTGCACATGAACTTTTCAAAGTTTTTAATGTAACACATGCTAAAGCAAAATGTTTAATGAATACAACATTATTAATAAACATTTGCATACTTTTAGCCTTAAAAAATGAACTTTGGAACTGGATATCACAATACAACATGTGCCTTCATTGATCTAATTAACAAATGCTAGACATTCCTTTTATAAAAGCAAGATTCTTATCCAAGCAAAAATTAAATGGATATACATTATTACATGCTGTCAGCCCAATTCATGTCAATCTCAAATGGATTTCCATATTTTATATATTTGTACATTTACCTCACACTGCTGTGAATGTGCATAAAACATTAAAGCATATTCAACAAGGGAAGTCTTAGGTTGGCATAGCAGCAAGTCTATCAACAATTTATCCATTGAAACAGTAAAGAGAAGTCTAGGTATTTTAAATAACTGAATGAAACTCAAATTTGACCTTCTTGTAAAGGGTAGGACTTTTTCTACCAAGGGCCATTAAGAAATTTATAACATCATTCACAGGCTATACTAAATTATCAACTTAAAAATTAGCCTGCTATACATTTATTAAAGTTTCAGTCCTGCCAAGGGATACATGGACAGGAACAAACCAAATGACTTCACTGACCTCATGCATTTTATAGCTGCGACATTCCTAACGCTGCTGTTAATCAAAGTACAATATAGATAAACTCCAACTTCACTATCTCAGCAAATACATTTTTCCATAAATATGCACTATTTACCTTTATGTGCTTCTCCAGGGTGTCCCAATTCTGTTTTCATTGGACGTGATGACCCTCTCCCTAACGCTGTCTGAAGCACCATAGGTGGGGCTTCTCCAAGTAAACCAGGTTTCTACAAAGAAGAGAAAGCAAAATTTTGGCTCATGGTAAAAGGTACAACTTTAACATAGCTCTAATTCTAGAACAGGAACAAACTGATTTGGGAAGAAATAAACAGTGCTGTAGTTAACTTATTAGTATAGATATTCTCAAACTTCATTCATTGCTGCTATGTCATTGATAACAAAGATTCTGAAGGAACAGATCAGAAGTTTCACCAATACTGAGCTTTGTGAAAATGACAAAGTATTAACCCATTAGGTCTAATCATCCAATAAACAGGATACCTGGAAAAATTTAAACTGAGGAATATACTATCTACAATAACTTTGAAAGATTATATTTCTAGAGCTCTATTTTTTTCAGCAGGTAAATGACTACAGTACTTGAGAATACTTTCAAATTCATGAAAACCCTAGAAACTTTGCTGAAAAAGTTATTTTTACTAACTGTTCAACCGAACAAAGCATTGCTTTAATTAAAAAAATAAAGGAGGGGGGGCAAACTCCTATCTGTCAAAATGCTGGGTTCAGGGCTATCCGTTGACTTAATCACCATATATATATATGGTGATATGATGCCAAAAATGGCATATATATATACTGATGTTAATTTTGATTCATCCTCAGGATTCTATATGCTTAAAAACAGCTGAAACAAGTAATTTTTATCTAAAATGTTACTATGTATATGTAACTATTTTGAAATATTAACATAACTACATGTATTATAACATTGAATGAATTATAAAAATTGAATTATTCTTTTAGTTCTCCCTATAATTTCTTCAAGATGAGATAAGAATCCTTATGTTTGAACCACTATTTATTTACGGGAAAAACTGAGAAAATATAGCTGCTTCCTTCCTTTGCTTTGGTTTACTTAACTGAATCTGATATATGAAGTTCTAGCTTTATATAGCAAAACTTAATAAGGATTTTCTTTAAATGTAATATACTCATCTAACTTCTTAAAAACTTTAACAATTAAGAACAAAATATTCGATTACATATTTGATGCTTCAGTATTAGTGCTATTTACAAACCTGGTGTGCTTTATTTAATTGTAACAGTGCAGAGGAGACAGATGGATTCATCATGGGTGGCAAATTGTGACCTGCATAGGAAAAGTATAAATTTAACTTGATGATATATGGCAAATTAAAAATAAACAACAAAAGCTCCAATAAAGAGCAAATGAGTATTTCCTTATACTTCTAAGAAATCGATTCAAAGTCCAACCATAAATTGACCTTGTCATTGGTCAAAAGTGACAGATTCTTTACATTGTGACTCAACTAATACAATCTGTTTCAAGTTCCAACATCTTTGGCATAATTGTAAAACACAAACCTGAGCTCACAATACTCTAACACTTGGTGCAACAAAACTAATTCCATCTTTTACTAAGCCCAGCACTAATGGAACCTATTTGACTTGGTCAAATTTTTTTTAAAGTTTACGTAAAACCAACCTTAAAATATGCATTAAAATTACATAATGAAAGCAAAAGTAACAAACTATATAAAGATTTAAAGGAATACATGGCAACCATACTCTTAATCCAGAATATGAGTCAAAAATACTTGGGTATATTTCACAATGGGTATTACATAATTGGTTAAATCACTCAAAAATGGCATAGAATAATATGAAGAGGAGTTGGCATCTGGTACAATGGCTAAAATGCTGACTGAGATAACGTCAATCCATCTCAAAGTGGCCAGATTCAATTTGAGCCCATGCCAGATTCCCATTGACATGCACCCTGGAAAGTAGCAGGTGGCAGTCAAAGTTAGGTCCCTGACATTCAAATGGGAGACCCAGACTAAATTATTCACTCCATAGTTTGGTCTATTGCAGCATCACCTTGAAGGGCATTTGGAGAATGAACTACCAATAGAATTTCTTCCTTTCTTTTAAATAAAATAATCTTAGCGGAGAAATACACAGAGAACTTAATCTAATCAAAGGGTAGTCGCAATGTGCGAACTTTGTGTATTATGTGCACAAAGCATTATGTACATAATACACAAAGTATTTAGTGTCTAGAAAAGCTTCTGACAATACTTCTACTCTTCAAATTTTTATTTTCATTTCATTTGAAAGGCAAAGAGAGAAAGAGATCTATCCATTGGTTCACTCCCCAAGTACCCACAATTGCAAAGGGCTGTACCAAGTCAAATCAGGAACCCGAAATTCCACTTGAGTCCCACTTTGGTCTCCCATGTTTCAGTGACCCAGGTACTTGAGTCATCATCATCTGCTTTCTCTTAAAGTGTGCATTAGCAGGAAACAGAAGAGAAACAGCACAGCTGTACTCAAATCAGGCATTATGATACAGGAAGCAGGCATCCCAAGTGAGGACCAACCACGGCACCAAACCACAATCCCTGACACTATTGTTTTGTAACGCAAACTTAACAAATTCAGGAAAAATGAACAATGACAGGTAAGTGAAATGAATCTTTGTGGCATCCAAAATTTTTAATATTTCTATTAGTCTATACTGGGACCATCTTAGAGAACAAGAACAATACAACCTTAACAGAACTATATGTGATTCAGTTTTCAATATTTTTTTCTGGGAAAGTAAAAGTGTGTAGCAAGAGTGAATATTTAATTAAAACATTAATTAAGGGAGTTACAATAATCTGAAGATATATGGAAGAGAAGCCTTTTAAAACTCAGTGAGCTCCTTCACTGTAGCATGTCTGGGTGGACTGAGACACCAACAGAGGTTTCATGCAGAGAAAATACTACCTAACAAAAGTAACATGGGTGGAAGAATTGCATTATCATTTTTTAACTCTGGAGTTGAAGTTCAAAGAACAAGGTTTTTTAAAGAATAAAAATAAAGTAAGCCCCATCCCTCCTATTAACAATCAACTGGAGGAAAACAATAAACTACAAAAGGGCTGGTACTGTGCTAAGTTAAGCTACCCCTGCATTGCTGCTGCTCCAGCTCCCTGTCAATGTGCCTGGGAGACCAGAGGATCACACATGTGCTTAGATTCCTGCACCCACAGGGAGGACAAGGACAAAGTTTCTGGATTCTGCCTGATTAGTCCAGCCTGTTGCAGTCATATGAGAGTGAACCAGTAGCTGGAAGACTTTCATACATTATGCCCCTCTCCCTCTTTCAAGCAAAATCATAAACCTTATAACAAATAAAAAACATTTAAAACTACAAAGTACTAGGTATACCATCAATGTATAGTAAATAAAAACCTACTCTGTCAGATTAGAGAAACCTAAGAAATATGCAAAAACATTTCTAAAACATTCAAATAATAAATTCATAATTACTAATGGAGAAGCCAGGAATATTGAACATAGGAATATTGAAAAGTACATCAAGTAAAAAATCTTCTACAAAAGGAGGGAGGGACAGTTGTTAATGGCACAGTGGGTAAAGATGTTGCCTACCATCACCAGCATTCCAGTTAGGTGTTGGTTCATATCCCATTTGCTCCACTTCCAATTCAGCTCCCTGTTGATGGCCTGGGAAGGAGGTCAAAAACAATCCAAGCCTTTGGGCCTCTGGCCATCCAGTAAGAGAACTAGGTGAAGTTCCTGGTTCCTGGCTTCAGTTTGGTCCAAAGTTAACTCAAGGGAATGTATCAACAGATTTGACCTTTCTGACCAAAATCCTTGCTAATGTGCCTGGCAAAGCAGCTTAAGCTGAACCAAGTGTTTGGCCTCTGAACCCTCGTGGGAGGTCCAGAAATTGCTTTAGACAAGCATAGCTTTGGGAGTAGTGGAAATCTGGGAGTGCCACAATACCTGTCAGTGCAGGTGAAATATGGAGCTGGGGGCAGAACTGACCAGGCATCCACCGATATGTAAATTGACTGACCCTGCACTGGTTGGCACTCACAAGCGTCAAATCTGAGGTCAGACCAGGTTTCTTGGGGAAGTCCACAACGAAAACTGGACTCATATCCCAGGCAGAGGGAAAGTCAGAGGATGAGTTGTTTTTCAACACTGGATTGTACATATCAGGACTGGGCCTCCTTAGTTGCTGGCTGTGCAGTAGACAGCATGTCCAGATGCACACAGGGAACACAACAGCTGGCTCATCTAAGCCAGCAAAAGACATCAACTTTCTCAACAGAGGATGGAAAGCAGAACAGGCTGGACAATTCTCTCCTGACCAAGCTGTGCAGCATGTTCCTAGGTCTGTGGACACACTAACATGAACTTTGTCAATTAACAGACCTTGGACAGATTTTCCAAGACCGGGAGCAATGAAACCAATACCTTTTCACAACTATCACAAAACCTCAAGTAGTACCCATGGGACACTGTTTGCCATTAGGGTCTCTAAGTCATCATCAAATGAGTGTCCCCCACCCCCGGTGCTGGTGTACTTTGACAGTAAGGAGCAGACACCTTCCCCTCCTCCCCTAGAATCAGAAGAAAGAAACAAAACAAAAAACAAAACAAAGCAAAACAAAAAACACACATTTGTCCCATCCAGCTTCCTCTGCACCTGAACCTTCCCACCCTAATCAGAGGCCCTCTCAACCAGGTAAATAAAGATTTTAAAAGTAAAAAAATAAAAACTAATGAAGTAAGGAAATCTCAGTACATATTGTGCTGATCAAAACCAATCTACAGAGGTTCAGTTTGGGGCACAGCAAGTTAAGCCACCACCTGCAACACCAACATTCCATTTGAGTGCCAACTTGAGTCGTGGCTGTTCCACTCTGGATCAGCTCTTCAATTATGTGTCTGGGAAAGTAACAGATGATGGCCAGGATGCTTGAGCCCCTGCCACCCATGTGGGAGATCTGGATGGAGTTCCAAGGTGCTTTGTCCTGCCATAACCGAAGCCATTATGGATGTTGGGGTAGTAACCCAGTGAATAGAAGGTGTCTGTCTTTCTCTGTCCCTCCATCTAACTACCTTTCAAATAAATGAATCTTTTTTTAAAAAAAAATTAACAGAGAGAATAAATTAAAGGATATGTTCGTGCCTGTGGACTGCATACGTGAGAATCTGCTTTTTACATCTACATAACATAAACTACATAAGGTGATTATTATTGTACAATAAGTAATTTGACTTACTTCCTGAAAGGGAAACTAAATTCCTGGAGTTTTTCAAGTTAGAAGTAAATCTATGGGAGCCAGGCGCAATAGTGGCTAAAGTGGCTAAAGTCGTCACCTTGCATGCGCCAGGATCCCATATATACGCCGGTTCTAATCCCAGCAGCCCGGCTTCCCATCCAGCTCCCTGCTTTGGCCTGGCAAGGCAGTCAAGGATGGCCCAAAGCCTTGGGATCCTGCACCTGGGTGGGAGTCCCAGAAAAATCTCCTGTTTCCTGGCTTCAGATCGGCTCAGCTCTAGCCATTGTGGCCATTTGGGGAGTGAACCACTGAATGGAAGATCTTTCCCTGTCTCTTCTCTCTGTAAATGCCTTTCCAAAAAAAATAAAAAAAACTTTTAAAATAATAATAATAAAAGTTTTGCATTTTCTATAAAGTAAAACAATTTTATAACAAAAATGAACAAAAGAACAGACATGTACCATTTGTCAACAAAATATTTCAGCTAAAAATATTACATAGGAAAGTATCATATCCCCATAGATACAGGATGTAACAAAGTAGTATACTAATACTTACCTGTTCTATAATATCAAGGCAACAACTAACCTGAATCCTTAAAATTTAATATTTATTTGCAGCAATAAAAACAGGAAATATAAATAGTTTCTATCTACTGAAAACAGATCATTTTATCACTTCAGGTTAAAATTTAGTAATATGTTTGAAAAAAATTAAATATGTTCACGCTAATCTAAAGGCATTATAATATGCAAATGCATTTTCACATTTCACATGCAAAGCATCGCAATGACCTTAACACCAACATTTTATATTTATCATACACAGTGCTTACCAGGTTTAACACCTCGTCCGCAAAGCTGGGGTTGTAGCAGAACTTGTAACATGGCAGGGTTATTCAAACTTTTCATAATTTGTTCTGGATTTGGCTCTGGAAGTAAGCCCTTTTGATTACTGTGCATCTTCCATAAATACAAAAATATATATTAGAACACACTTAAGTACAAAAAGCAAAATTTTAGCAGTTATTTCTATAAATATCATTCATCTTATATCATCTATTTTATAAAGCTTTGCTTTACAGTATATATTTATTCTAAACTCTACACACTTATTTTAAATGTTTTATCATGCAAAGATATAAAACTCAAAATCTCTCCTTTATGTACCAACTGGTTTCAAAAAGATTAATAACAACACAGCAATATATTATCCTCATAAAATACAGAAAGGCCAGTATTATGGGCATAACAGATAAAGTTACCACCTGTGATGCCAGCATGCCATATGGGTGCCAGTTTGTGTCCTGGTTGCTTCACTTCTGATCCGGCTCCCTGCTAATGCCTGGGAAAAGCAGCAGCAGATTGCCTAAGAGCTTGGCCCCTTGCCACCAATTTGGCAGATCTGGATGAAGCTCCTGGCTTCAAGCCTGGCCATCTGCGGAATGAACCAGCAGACAGAAAGACTTTCTCTCTCTCTCTCTGTAGCTCTAACTTTCCAATAAATCAATTTTTTATAATAAAGGTCTTTATGGGTCTGGTGCCGTGGCTTCCCCTTGAATGCACAAGAATCCCATATGAGCACTGGGTCTAATCCCAGCAGCTCCACTTCCCATCCAGCTCCCTGCTTGTGGCCTGGGAAAGCAGTGGAGGATGGCCCAAAACTTTGGGACCCTGCACCCATGTGGGAGACATGGAAGAAGTTCCTGGCTCCTGGCTTCAGATCGGCGCAGCACTGGCTGTTACGGTCAGCTGGGGAGTGAATCATTGAACTGAAGATCTTCCTCTCTGTCTCTCCTCCTCTCTGTATATCTCTGACTATGCAATAAAAATAAGTAAGTCTTTAAAAAAAATAAGTAAAGGTCTTTATTACTTTATCTTTCTGAGACTAGTATGACTGTTTATTAAGTTATACACAGGAAATTGGGTAGGTTCCTAAATATGAAATAGTTTTCAACTTTAAAAATCAACTAGGGAGCCAGCATTGCAGCACAGTGGGTTTAACTGCCACCTGCAATGCTGGCATCCCACATGAATGCCAATTCCATCCCAGCTGCCCACTTCCAATTGAATCCCCTGCTAATGTGTCAGAAAAGGGAACACAAGATGGTTTGAACACCTGGGCCCTTCCACCCACATCGGAAACACAGACGGAGTTCTAGCGGCCCAGTCCCAGCAGTTATAGCCACTGGGGAATGAACCAGAGACTGAAAATCAATCTCTAATCCTGCCTTACAAATAAAGAAATAAATTTTTAAAATAATAGGGAAGACTATGTGCTCGCTTCGGCAGCACATATGCTAAAAAACAATAGTGAAGACTACATTATCAGTTCACTGACAGCCTAGTGGCACACTTGCAGTCAGTATTTAAGAGCACAGTGCCACAGAGCCACTACATGCTGGAAAACACTGGGTACAGGCAGAACAGATGGAAACAGAAAATCTCCTTCCAACCTCCCCATCTTCTCAGCTTCTCCTTTCTGTACAAATTGTGCAGGATAGAAGAGCTAGAACTGAGGAAGGCAAAACCTTGAAAAGTATACTGCTCAGAGTGGAGAAATAAATAGATTCTCTCAGGTGCAGGTCTGCCTGGCAGGGGTGGAACAGGAGCTGTGGTTAAGCCCAGAAGATCAAGACAGAGCTTCTCTGCCTTGAGATCCTTGTCTACTTTCATTTAAAGGCTTTAGCACGTTAGCGAAGCAGTCCTCCTCTCCCCCAATCTCTAAGACTGACATGCAAAGAAGCTGATACCCAAGAAATACATATTCATACAGAAAAATAACTAGAAATGTGGAGAATGTAATCAGGAAAAATGAAGCTAACAAACTGAACAACCTGTAACAGAGAAAGCAGCTTCATGGACAGGAAATATAAAAATGCAAAATATAGGGCCCGGCATGGTGGTGCAAGTGGTTAAGGTCCTCGCCTTGCACGCCCAGGATCCCATATGGACGCCGGTTCTATCCCGGCAGCCCCGCTTCCCTTCCAGCTCCCTGCCTGTAGCCCGGGAGAGCAGTCGAGGACAGCCCAAAGCTTTGGGACCCTGCACCCACATGGGAGACCCGGAAGAGGCTCCTGGCTTCGGATCGGCATAGCATCGGCCCGTTGTGCTCACTTGGGGAGTGAATCATCGGACGGAAGATCTTCCTTTCTGTCTCTCCTCTCTGTATATCCGCCTCTCCAATAAAAAAATAATTTTAAAAATGCAAAATACATAGATATCCCACAAAATAGCGGATTTTTATTTACAAAAAATAAGGACAAACAGAAAGAAGAACCAATGAGAAATACTGGGGAGAAAATGCAGAAACCCTATCAACTCTGCATAACTTAAGCATTTTACCTTTAGAGCACTTAATCCTCAAAAACAAATCTATAACGTATTTAATACTACCCATTCCCCCACCAAAGAGGAAACTGAGGAAAACCATGGAAATTTATTTTTAATTTCTAGCCTACACTTTAAGAGCTGTGTTAAGTAGGATATATGTGACTGGTAAAGTAGCGACCTAAAGAATCAGGTAAAATAAATGGAAAACACAGCGAACAAAAACAAAACAAAAGACAATGGAAAGGGTAACGGCAGAAGTGCCAACACTTACATAATATGGATCCCTGAAGGAAGGAAAAAATAAGAGGGAAATCTTTGAAGCAATAATCGCTGAGAAGTTCCCATTACTTTAAATTATAGAACACAGAATGAAAGAGCTCACAGTGTCCCAAAGGAAACACTTAAGGAAAAACAGACCTCGTCATAATTTCTAGAATGAAATTTAAGAACAGACAAAAACAAGTTTCCAAAGCAAAAGAATGTATCTCCAAAGAAAAAAGCAGATTAAAACCATCCTCTTTACTGAAGCATCTATAGTCAATGAATTAATGAATAATCAAAAATTATCAAGAAGTCAAAGAATTAAATATTTTCAAAATGTTGCAGAATCTAATTTCTATACTAAGCTAAGCTATTTTTTTAAGTGTCAAAAATATTCTTAAATTTACAAGTCTCACAAATTATTGGCACAAGAATGTGAGAATTCACAATTTCCCTCTGGGAAAGACACAAGGACTACATTCATGTAGCTATATATACAAAACCTATCAAATGTAGGCAATGTTTAGTTTATTAAAGTTTTTATTTAGGTTGATCCATGAGGACAGAGGAGGAAAGATAACAGCATCATTTCATGAAGTAAGTGTTATATTAGCTCACTACGACAATACAGAAGAATATAGGGGCCGGTGCAATGGCTCAATTGGCTAATTCTTCTCCTGCAAGTGTCAGCTTCCGTATGGGTGCACCAGCTGTGTTGCAGCTACTCCACTTCCCATCCAGATTCCTGCTTGTGGCATGGGAAAGAAGTATAGTATGGCCCGAAGCCTTCAGGGCCCTGTACCCATGTGGAAGACCTGGAAGAAAGAAGTTCCTAGCTCCTGGCTTCCTGGCTTCAGGTCAGCTCAGCTCCAGCCAATACAGCCATTTGAGGGGTTAATCAGTAGATGAACATCTCCCTCTGTCTCTCCTCCCTGTAAATCTTTTTCTGCTTTATTTTTTTCAGAAAAGCAGATTCACAGAGAGAATCAGAGACAGAAAGATCTTCCATTCACTAGCTCACTTCCCAAGTGGCCACAACAACTAGAACTGAGCCAATCCGAAACCAGGAGCTTCTTCTGGGTCTTCCACTTGGTTGCACGGTCCCAAAGTTCAGTATCTCTTATTTATTTTTTTAAGATTTTTTATTATTATCATCATTTTATGATAGAGTTCCATAGGCCAGCATCTCTTTTTTTACTAAAAGATTCATTTAATATTTTTATTGGAAACTCAGATTTACAGAGAGAAGCAGAGACAGAGAAAAAGATCTTTCATCCACTTGCTCATTCCCCTAATGGTTCAATGGTCAATGCTGAGCCAATCAGAAGCCAGGAGCCTCTTGCAGGTCTCCACATAGATGCAGGGTACCAAGGTGTTGGGCCATCCTCAACTGCCTTCCCAGGCCACAAGCAGCGAGCTGGGAGGGAAGTGAAGCTGCCAGGACACGAAGCAGTGCCTATGGGATCCCACTACCATGCAAGACAAGGACTTTAGCCACTAGGCTACCGTGTCATGACCTCTACTTTTGATTTTTAGAAGCCTCAAAAAACTTTATAAAAGATATGTACTCATTCCATAATCTTACATAAGGATAAGAAAAGAATTCTTTCACTGCTATCTGATCATGAAGGACTCTGCTGCCTAATATCTCTTTTTTGTTTTTAGATTTATTTATTTGAAAAATACAGAAAGATAGACAGAAACACAGACATCTGCTGGTTCAATCTTCAGATGGCTGTCAACAGCGAGTGTTGAGCCAAGAGCTTGGAACTCTATTCAACTGAGTGCAAGAGGTCCCCAAGCATTTGAGCCATCTTCTGCTGAACTGCAAAATGCTAAATTAGAAGTGGAAAAGCTGGGCACAAACTACTGCCCATACAAGATGTCAGCATCATAAGAGAGTTTAACCTGCCACATGAGACAGGTTCCTGCTTTGTCCAGATATTGAGTTAAAGGAGCTGCAGGTAGGAGACCAACCACGATAACTGAATCTGCAAATCACTCTGTTTCAGTGTGAATGAACTAATGATCTGTATAGATACAACAGGACACAGAAAAGCAAGTCCAAAAGAAAAATACTTTAGAAATGCTGATATTGAACTAGTTATTTAACATCTTCAATATAAGGTTTCTAATACTTTTGGAAACAGAGTTAGTGCTTAAAGCAACCTAAGCCAAAAAACATATTTGTGGAAGCCACCTTAATAGGTAATAACTGAAGAAACTAGATAACATTCTAAGTAAGTAAAAGAATCAGTTGGTGAATTTACTGGATACCAGTCTTTGAGGACAGAAAAGCTAAGGAGTACAGCAAAAAATGATATGACAGAATTCATGCTAGTATAAAGACCGAGAAGCACTAACTAGGTCAACTAAGAAATCATTGTTAATCATCACAAGTGCAAATTCACTTAAATAGTGGAGGCGGAAACTGCATTGTATGAGGCTGAGAAGGAAATGAGAAAGAAATGGCAACAATGAGTGGGACCTAATTGTTCAAGAAACTCTAGTGGTGTGATTAACGACGCATACCGAGGGAGGGTTCTAACTGGTAGGGTAGAGTTAGAAGAACAAGCAAAACTAGGTAGAAAAGGTGCACAGTCCTGATGACAGAGGACAAAGGTATGAAGTTAACTTCCTCTAAGAGAATGGGCCTCTTTATTGGCTCTGTTCACTAGTGAATTCTAGACATCACTAATAATATCCAGAATGCAGTGGGTTCCCACTAAGTACTTGAGGCAATAAATGCTACTCAAGACAGAAGGTGGCAAATGTGAAAAGCATCGAATGACTAAAGTCCAACATCATGGCCTTAATAGCTACGATAACTGAAAGAAATAAAGATAAAAGCAGGCACAGAGTTCAGGTTCTATCTACTTTTAAAAGATGTATTTATTTAGTTGAAAGGCAAAGTGATATAGATAAAGTGAGAGCGAAAGATACCAATTTTACATCTGCTAGTTTATAGTTCATATCCCAAATGCCTGTAACAGCCAAGGCTGGGTCAGGCTGAAGCCATGAGTCAGAGCCTTCTATTAGGGCGGCCCAGTACTTGCACCAGTAGTACATCAACTACTATAAAAATAGCAAAATGATGACAAATAAGCTGAAGATTTGCTGGGGGGAGGGAAAAATGTCACTTTATGCCAGTCACCTATAGTGGCGTCAAGACACCCAATTGATTAATTCATCTACAATCACTGATGGTATAATCCTTATTCTGCCATCATGTTACAGAAGGAATAAGGACACTAGTTATCAGAGAGCATTTTTTTTAAAATGAATTTCCTGTGGTTTACAGGTGTTCAATAGTCTTCCTTGCTTTGGCATCAACCTGCCACATCACCATGGGTCCTCTAATGTTACAACACCACAGACCATTATTGAACTACTACTTGAGTAGAATGAATCACATAATTACTCACTGTCATTTTATGGTCACCCAATTTAGCAGGTAAAACTAAGGAAATACTCAGTTAAATTTAGAATTTATATAAATAATTATTTTTCAGAATATCTCATGGAAATTTTATACTTATCTGACAGTTTTATCCCCAATCACCCCAAAACATGTCAATATTCCATCCATATTTTAGTGTCACACTCAAATGCCACTTTCATCATGAAATCTTTCCCTTATTTTTTTTTAAGTGTATTCCTTCACTCAAGCAATGAATAGCATTCTAAGTGCCTGGATCAAAACTATCAGAAAGACATAGTCTATTTCCCAGGTTCTCCAGACTAGAAAAGTAGAGAATGTTATTTATACAGTTACAGTAATAAAGTACAATACAGCAGATAAACAAATAGAAGGCCCATATTTTACAATGATTGCAAAGAGTATGTTACATATACCTAAAACTGAAAACTGGGTAAAAATGCAGTAAAATTCCTTCAAAAACAAACAAAAGCCTTTTAAAATCAGACCCTTTGTTGTTTTTTGGGTTATGTTTTCACTTGGTTTGACAAAGGTAACAGCCAACTTTTTTTGTTTTAAAGGTGTTTTCAATGTGGTGGAAAGATACGATGGTTCAAAGATCGACTGTTCTGAACCAATTATAACCACATTAGAATTTTCTATATCCTATAAAAGAAAATTCTTACCACATGTTGAGCCACTATCAGTGCTGCTAATGTACTTCGCCCTGGAGCTCCTGGCGCACAGAAGGAAACGTGGACTTTGCTCCCCTTGATGGTCATACCATGTGCTGCTTGCTGAACCTCCTCAGCGTGCTCTGCCGTGCTGTATTCAACCACTGCAAAGTCACCAACGTAACTACCTTCATCCTGTGCAAGCTGATGCAATACATTTTATTAAAAGGGCATTCTGACACTTACTTCAAGACATTTAATATCATTTTCAAATTCATAAAAGTTACCAGAGCATGAAACTCATGAAAATTACATGTTCTCTATGAAAGTAATATTTAGTAGTTGCTTAAATGTCCTTCCTAGACACAAGATAAAAAAAATGGTTAATTTTCAATTCTTTGATTTTTCTACTTATTTTAACACCCAAAGCCCAAATGATAATACTCATGTTAAGACAAATAAGAAACTGGTAATAAAGATATGGGGAGGCACAAGCAATGAAACATACTGAATAATTAATGGACTATATACCAAAAGTAAAATGGTAAAAATACCATTATCAAGAAAGAGGAATTATAATCAACTTTTATTTTACTATTTTAGTTGATTCAGAAATGTGATCAAACATACTAAAACTTTTACTTAGGAAACTTTTCCACAGGTTTCTAAGAATATCACATGCAACACACAATCTTATTATCTAAATAAAACTTCTGCCATACTCAATTTGTTTCCAGTTCCTCTTCTCTAAATACATAAGGAAGGATACTGGAGATCGAGATGTACAATGACAGGAACAAAGGCCAAAAGCAAAAAAAAAACACCAAGACACCAAAATGTTCTTAAGCTTTGAACATTATCACAATATAAACAGTAAATATGAAAAATTTAGCTTGATATGTTTTTTGTTTATTTGAACGGTAGAATTACAGAGACAGGGAGGAAAACAGAGAGCTTTTTCACCCACTGGCTCATTCCCCGAAGAATCACAGCAACACATTTACACTACTTAGTGGGTTTGGAATCTCTGAAATTAATACAAAAAATCTCCAAAAAGCTCATGGAAATGTTAACTATGATAAAACACATGGATTCTCGGCCCAGCACGGTGGCCTAGCAGCTAAACTGCACGCGCCAGGATCCCTTATGGGCGCCAATTCTAATCCCAGCGACTTTACTTCCCATCCAGCTCCCTGCTGGTGAGCTGGGGAAAGCAGTCTAGAACAGTCCAAAGCCTTGGGATCCTGTACCCACGTGGGAGACCCGGAGGAGGCTCCTGACTTCTGCTTCAGATCGGCTGAGCTCTGGCCGCTGCAGCCGCTTGGAGAATCATCGGACAGAAGAACTTTCTCTCTCTCTCTCCTCCTCTCTATATATCTGACTTTCCAATAGAAAATAAATAAATAAATAATCTTCAAAAAAAAAAACAAAGAACATAGATTTCAAAACATGTTGAACCAAAGCAAGCGTCTTTTTACTCTAGTTTTTCCACAAACTTCTTAAAGTATCCTCACACTGTAAGTCAAGTGTTCCTCAGTGCTTTTGTTTAAGCTGCTTTTCTAAATTTAAGGTTCACTTTTTTTACTTTCTTATCTATATGGATCAAACTTCTACTTTTTCTTGTTCTTTTAAAACTGTCCATTAATATTCTTTTATCCATAAATTGTTTTCCATACATATGGGAGAAATGGAAAATATCTCTTCTAAATACCTAAAATATCCTATTCCTCTGGCAATCCAAACCAGGTGTTAAAATGAGATTTTCTTGAGACTGGCCTTGCTTTATTTATAACACAATGTCAACTTGTGTATGATTTAACAAAATTATGAACTTTTTAAAAAACGATTTATTTATTTTTGTTGCAATGTCAGATATACAGAGAGGACCTTTAGCTGCTGGGCTACCTATCATACAGGGCCCCAAAACTTCTGAACTTCAAAAACATTTGCACCATTGCTGCTTCATTATGATGATACTCATTTCCAAAAAGTTATAAACTAATTTCTAAAAGGACAAAATTAATATTTAAGGTCACAGTACCAGCAGTGAAGGTTTTTTCCAGTTCAATACAAGAGTCACTCACTGCATGAAGTAATATTCTGATTTCTGATTTCACTAATTTTCTACTCAAGGGTTTTAGCAGAAGCTAAAATGTCAAACATGCTGTAACAAACATTCTTCATCAAATATAAACCTATATTCTCTAAGATAACTTTCAACTATTCCAACCTTGGGGATCCTAGCTCAAAAACAATTGTGATAAAGGTCCTTTCAATTTTGAGAGTGATAATTCAAACACCAATCATACCAAATGGCTTTTTATCTCACATCTGCTTCAAAGATATTCACAAAACTACAAGAAATATGAATGGCCACAGGATAATGACATCACAATATAATTCTCACTAAACAATCACTTATCAGTAAGCCAATCAAGCTTCCAATACTGAAAAATCATTTACCACAAAATATCCTAATTTCACTCAGTTTTTAGATGGTTTCCTTAACATGCTGTGATTGGAGCAGTGGATATGTAAGAAAGTCAATCATTACTCTTAAAATCCTAAAAAGCTCATTTTAAAAGAAACTGAAGATAAAATGGTGGTTCTAAGGATGGGGAAGTTTGGGAAGATACAGTCAAAAATGGAATATTTGGGGGTATTGCTGCAGCACAGATAAGGCAATCTGCATATTACAGCACAGACGTCTCATAGTGCAGCACAGGTTTGAGTCCAGGTACCTAGGCCCTGACACTCCTGTGAGGATGCAATACTCCCAGACTCCCAGTCAGTTACTGCAGCCATTTGGGGAGAGAGCAGGCAGATGCAAGTTCTCCTTCCCTTTGCTACTCTGCCTTTCAATTAGTATGTCTTTAAAATAATATATGTATGTAGGTATAAATTCTGTTAGGCAAGAGTATTTTGTACAACGTGGTGACTATAAACACACACTTCAATTCCAAAATTTCCTACCACAAAAGTAGGTACTCGGCAAACTTAACTACAGGGAAAAAAAAAGAGGAGGCAGAGAAGAATGGTAAGAAAGTACATGAAGAGAAGAGGGGGCTAAAAGGAGAAGAAAAGCATGAAGAATTACTCTCTTGCTATCAAATCTGTAAAGCAATGGACTTTAGTATATTACAAAACAGCATATATTTTAACTATTTATTAGAATACATTTACTTTATTATGAAAAAGTGTTTGAAAACTCTCACCAGTGTTAACAGTTTTCAGGATCTTCTCTTACATACTATCACTGTATTAAGATAAATTAATTCTTCTCAAACTTCATAAGCTTTGTAGTCTCAATTATATCACTCCTCATATATGATTTATGATTACTTACAAACTTGTCAGTGTCCTCTACCAAACATTAAGGAATTGAAATACACTCTCTCTGCATTTATTACAGTGCCGGGTACAAAAAAATATCTGCACAAATGGGGCTGGAGCAGTAGCTTAGTGGCTAAAGACCTCACCTTGCATGCTCCAGAATCCCAAATGGGCACCGGTTCTAATCCTGCTGCCCCACTTCCCATCCACTTCCCTGCTTGTAGCCTGGGAAAGCAACAGAGGACAGCACAGAGCCTTGGGATCCTGCAACAGAGTAGGAGACCCAAAAGAGGATTTTGGCTCCGGTTCGGCTCAGCTCCAGCCATTGTGGCCATTTGGGAAGCAAACCAGTGGATGCAAGATCATTCTACTTTCCCTTCTCTCTATAAATCTGACTGAAAAATAAAAATAAACAAATCTTTAAAAAAAAAATCTGGACACATGCCTGAATCAACAAATGAAGGTCTAGACAAAAAGATAAAACCAGAAATCAAATCAGTAAAGTTTAATAAAAAATTTCCCATGAGAATAAATAAAGTCTTTTACAGACTAAAGCAGAATTAAATTACATCTGTGGGGCCTGGCGCAGTAACCTAGCAGCCAAAGTTCTTGTCTTGCATGCACCAGGATCCCATATGGGCACCAGTTTGTGACCTGGCGACCACACTTTCCATCCAGTTTCCTGCCAGAGGCCTAGGAAAGCAGTTGAAGACAACCCAAAGCCTTGGGACCCTGTACCTGTGTGGGAGACCTGGAAGAGGCTCCAGGCTCCTGGCTTTGGATTGGCTTAGCTCTGGCCATTGTGGCCACTTGGCGAGTAAATCAGCAAATGGAAGATCTTCCTTCCTGTCTCTCCTCTCTGTATATCTGACTTTCAATAAAAAAATAAATCTTTTTTAAAAATTTACAATTGTGTTAGTCACACAGACATAAAAATAATTTTCTAAGTGCATGTGAAATGAATATATGTGCACATACTTTAAATATTTCTAACAATCCCTTTAAAATACTTACCTGGCAAAACACAGGTTTATGGACACTGGAAAAATATTGCAATAGCTCTTCTGAATCCGTGCAGTCAGTAGGGAGTTTATCTACACAAAGGCACTTAGAATGAATGAGCTCTGAGGCCAATAGATTAACATCCATCCATTGTGCAAAGAGTGCTGATTCTCCTAATTGTTTTCCCAACAGATCCAATCTAGCCTTTGCAGCAAAGTCTTTTTTCATGTATTCCACAAATCCATAGCCTTTGGAATGGCCAGTAACTTCACTGTAGATCAGAAAACATCTTTCAACATTTCCATAACCACGAACAAGTTCTTCAAACTCTTCTAAGGTAAAAGAAATGGGCAAGTTGGTAATACAAAGCAAAGCATCCGTTGGCTGGAGCTGGACTATCAAGTCTTTCCCACGAAAAGAATACTGATGAAACATCTGAATTGCATTCTGGGCTTGCTCCCCATTCAATAAGGTAACAAAAGCTGTAAGATAATAAAACAAATTGATTAGAGTGATGTTTAAAAAAATTTTTTTTTTACTGTGAAATGTATTGCTAGTAAATCAGTAAACATACAACTACACTTTTCTGAAACTGAATGACCATATGGTCATATCCCTACTATATACAATGCACAAATGTTTTCTATTCTATCACAGATTTTTTTTTTTCAAATGCTGACACCTCCCTCTAATACATTAATTTCATAATCCATTACTCAAATATCATGTGTAATAGTAGAGGTGCCAGCACAGTAGCCCAATGGCTAAAGTCCTCATCTTGCACGCACCAGGATCCCATACGGGCACTGGCTTTAATCCTGGTGGCCCCACCTCCCATCCAGCTTCCTGCCAGAGGCCTGGGAAAGCAGTCGAGAACAGCCCAAAACCTTGGGACCCTGCACCTGTGTGGGAGACCAGAAGAGGCTCTGGCTCCTGGTTTCAGATTGGCTCAGTACTGGCCATTGTGGCTATTTGGGCAATGAATCATTGAATGGACAGCCTTTCCCCCTGTTTCTTCTCCTCTCTGTATATCTGACTTTCCAGTAGAAATAAAATAAAACTTAAAAAAATAGTAGAGATTTTGCTAAAGGACTTTTTTGATAGGCTAAGACAAGTTTGTTATTCCCACAACGTCAAACTGAATTTCATCTTAATCTATAATGGTTCTTTTTACTAATATTTTTAATCTGGGAAAAAATAAATCATGTAAATATTTTTAAAAAACAGATTTGAACATTTGCTAATTTAGAAGCGGATGGATGTAACACTCGCATTATCCTCCAAACTTTATTATTATAAAAGTTCTTGAACATTCACATTACACACAAAGAAACAATATAGCTGAATCTTAATTTATAAAAGTCAAACTAATATACAGAAAAATCAAAACCTAGGATACTAATATTACTTTCAGAAAACAAATTGTGTGATACTTACATGACTTCACCTCTAAGAATTTCATACATTAGCTTAAGCATGTAAACAGAGGAACTCTTTTTGTTCCATGATAGTCATAATGAACAATCACAATGAAGCTGGATGCTTATAACTGAAATCTTACCTGTTCGTTTATTTCTGTCCACATAACAGTATTTTAACTCAAAGTCTTTCAACAAATCATGAACTTCCTAAAAAGAAACAAAACCATGAATTTAACAAGCATACCACTGCAGTTCACAAATGTTGTAGCTATAATTTAACACTGCTGTAATTACCATGAACACCAGGCTCCATGTGAAAAATAATCTTCCATGGATTCTTATTATTTAAAATTAAATGCATTCAAGCCCCACCTGATATATCAGCTTTTACCCCAAATTTATCCCCAAGTACAATACCTGTTTGTAACACATCTTCCTGTTCAGAATATACTTCATGGGGATAAGATGCACTATCCTAACTATATTTCTGCTTACAATTATAGACTGACCTAGAATACAGCAAACATATCACTAAAGTTCCTAGCTGTAACTGAAATCTTTAAAAACCCTACCTCAATGTTTTTGATGAAGATACAGGGTAATTTCCCACAGAATGAGTACCCTCAGCCACAGAAGTAATAGACAGCATTTCCCTCTGAGCCTACAAGACATGGACTGGATGCCAAGTTTCTTTTGTTGCCCCATAAAGAGAAAAGGGGAGCAAAAATGCAGAATGCATCACAAATGCTTCTAACACAGACTGCACCTGTATATTGTGGCACAAACATGAAGAAGAAAATATACGAAGATTGTATACATTTAGAAATTCCTAGATATGAAAACACCTAAAAACTACCAATATACAGCATGTAATTCAATTGTTTCCCCCTGGCTCCCCAAGATGTTTAAACTACTTTTGGATTTCTCAGCCTTTATATTACTAATCTAGCCTATCCTTTTTCTTCTGATAGCAAAACTTACATTCACTTGGGAACCTAAGAGATTAGATTTGTTCTGTTTTCCCAATGCTCCTTGACATTTTCAAGCATCCATACTGAAGCATTCAAGGATACAGTTTGAGGGCCTAGCATAATGGCTCACTTGGCTAATCCTATGCACTGCCAGCATCATCATCCCATGTGGGCATCAGTTCCTGTCCTGGTGGCTCCACTTCCCACCCAGCTCTCTGTTAATAGTCTGGAAAAGCAGAGAGGATGGTCCAAACTCTTGAGACCGAATACCAGTGGGAGAGACCTGGAAGAAGTTCCTGGCTCCTGGCTTCAGACAAGCTCGCCTCTAGCCACTGGAGCCATTTGGGGAATTAATCAGTAGATGGAAGATCTTTCTGCTTCTCCTTCTAAAAATCTGCCTTTCCAATAGAAAATAAAGAAATCTTAAAAAACAACAACAACAAAAAGATGTAGTTCGAAATGTGAAGAAAGAATATGGAATGCAGACTGTGCCAAAGGAAACAAAACTTCCTACATAGAAAAATACTATGTTCCTTTATGCCCTAAGTGGGCGAACTCTCAATGAGTCTCCCCTAAACTGGCCAAATTAAAAGCTTGAAACCTGAAAGAGTTCTAACAACTATCAACATTTTACTATGGTCTATCACATAGTAGTCGAGGACTAACACGAAAGTTCCCTACACTAATACAATTTTATAAGATTTCCACTAATTTTCAAGCTAAATTTTCAAACTAACATCTTTGGCATCTGTTCTTTGCTGAGATGTATACTTGGCCTGACAGTGAAGTCACTAAACTTCACTAGAATGGTTACTGCTACTTTGTCTTTTATCTTATATTCTTTCTTAATGGGAAAATGAAAATCTGTTCCAGCCATCACTGGACATGCAGAAAGAATCCAATGCAGGAAAAAAAAATTCAATGCAGAGAATCATCATCCAACTTAGGAAAGAGAGTGCAAAAGAAGGAAATAATTCAAGAGTCTGTTCAGAACCAAGAGATCTCTTAAATGCAAAAATCCAGAACTCAAAGTCCCTCCCACAGCAGGCTGGCCTGACTTCAGGTCTCCAGTTGATAATGTAGGCAGGTAGGGGACAAAGAACTAAGCACTTCATACCCAAAAGACATGTACCACACAAATCCTCACAAGTCCCATCATCTTCCATGCTGGTGCATCATTCTGCATGCATCACAAAATGCAACTAAGCCTAACTTTCCATCATGCACCGCATGCCAGAATACCTTCCTGGAGATCACCACATTTACTGAAACTCCATCTCAGGCCCTGCCCCAAGCACTACCTCTATAAAAAAAAGACAACCCTAGTCTGGATGGAAAGGCAACTGTCCCTTCTGAGGTTTATCTTTCAATAAATCCTATTTTTCTGCTCATCTGACCAAAAAAACAAAAACAAAAACAAAAAAACCCCAAAAACTTCATTTTCTGAACAGCAATTACCAATAGCAAATTTGATGAACAGGATGTTAAGCAAAATTGACATCAGATGCCTTTAGTAATACATTTCAAGATCAGCTTCATTATCACTTCCTGAAGTCCAGCTAGAAAGTCTTACGTAGGGGCCAGCACTAGGCAAAGCAAAGTAGGTCTCCACAAAGCAACAACATCTCTTAGGGTAACAGGTTCAAGTCCTAGCAACTGCACTTCCAATCCAGCTACCTGATAATGGTTTAGGAAAGCAGTAGAGGATGCCCCAAGTGCCCACATGGGAGACCCAAAGAAGTTTCTGGGCTCAGGTCTGGCTATTGTTGCCATGAACCAGCAGATGAAAGAGCTCCCCTCCCACCCCCTTCTCTATTTTGTCTTTCAAGAAAAGCAAACAAATGTTTAAAAAGAAAGTTTTAAAGTCTTCCAAAGGGACCTGTATTTCTAGCACAGTGAGTTAAGTTGAATGCATCCGACATTAGACAAGATCAGGTGCATTATATGGCCATAGTAGCATATAATGTTAGAGCACAGTTTTGAGTTCCAGCTGCTTAGCTTATGATTCAACTCCCTGCTAACTAGCCTGTGAAAGTATATGAAGATGGCTGAAGCATCTGGATCACTGTAACCCATGTGGGAGACCCAGATGGAATTCCAGGCTCCTGCCTTTGCTCTGTCCTGGCCCTAGCTGTTGCAACTATTTGAGAGGTAAACCAGCACATGGTTCTCTGTCTTCCCCCCAAAAAATAAAAACCAATCTTAACAGCAAACAAATCAAAAATAAAATAAAAACAAACAAAAAACCCTCTTTCATATGAAATGTTTCATCAAAAATGATTAACAGCTTTCAACTCAAGCAAAGAATGACACCTCTGCCACCAAAAGTTCCAGCTAGTCTAGAATTCTTTGGTGAAACTTGGCCTTTGTTTTTTTTTTTTTTAAAGATTTATTTATCACAAAGTCAGATATACAGAGAAGAGGAGAGATAGAGAGAAAGATCTTCCGTCCGACGATTCACTCCCCAAGTGACCGCAACCACCAGTGCTGTGCCGATCCGAAACCGGGAACCAGGAACTTCTTCCCGGTCTCCCACACAGGTGCAGGGTCTCAAGGCTTTAGGCCATCCTCGACTGCCTTCCCAGGCCACAGGCAGGGAGCTAGATGGGAATTGTAGCTGCCGGGATAAGAACCGGCGCCCATATGGGATTCCAGGACGTTCAAGGCAAGGACTTTAGCCGCTAGGCCATGCCACCGGGCCCAACTTGGCCTTTGTTATAAACCTGAACCACATTGGCTACACAAACTAAGCTTCACTGTTTTTTTTTTAATTGTTCTAAGAAAAACTTTCATAGATTAAAATGTCACTGTTTCCAAAGTGGAGAAAAAAAAAAAGCACAAACTTTGCTAATTTTTATTTTTCACTTAATTTGCTGTATGAAATACTACATGTAATAAATATTAAGCTATAAGGCATAATAACAAAGTAAACACCCTGAAGCTCACTTTCAAATTTAAGAACTAGAACAGCAACAACAGTGCTGCCTCTTCCTACCTAAACCCGCCTGCCTACCTGGGTATGTATCTGCTGGATTTTTTTATAACTTGTCTTTTGAGCTTTGTAAAAATGATATACTACTACTATCAATCTACTGTGGCTTAACTTTCAAGTTCAATACTATATTTTTAAAACATGCTTCTTCCATGTTGCTGTTACACATATTGATATTTTATGTACTCATTTTTCTACCAGTAATCTGGTTTCCAAGTTGTCATTTAATGCTATGTCATTTATATTTTAACTACTTTTATTTTAAAATTATTATAAATTAATACAATTTCTGTAATTTGATATATTCCCTGGTATTTATATACAAGAGTACATCTAGAAATGAAATGTCTAGACTATTTGTATACAAATGACCAAATTCATAAACTGATACACCCATTCTTTGCCAAAATGGTGAACCAGTTTATATTCCTATCAACATCACTCATAAATCCCACTGAAGCACAAACCCTTTCCAGGCCTAGTGCTATCACACAATTAAGTTTTGTCCAATCAACAGATATGAAACTGTCTCACTGTTGTCTTATTTCATATCCTTTTGAATAATAAGTTAGGATATGGTCATGGTTAATCTCATGTTAACTAGAGTTATGTAGTCAAACACTAATATATGCTGTTGTGGTTATTCTGCACAAATATGTAGCATCTGTAAGTTGATTTACGATTACCCTAGAAAAAGTGAATGGACCTCTTGAAATTGGTTGAAAGCATTCACTAAAAAATAAAAACAAAAAGCAAAAATGTTTACTGGAGAACTCAGCCTCAAATATGTAGTGTCAGTACCTGCCTGAGTTTACAACCTGCCAGCATGTTCTTCAGACTTTGGACTTGCCAGGCCCAATAACCGTGTGTGTCGATTTCTTGTTCATACACACATATGTTCTATGTATGTTTATATGACTATCTTTGCAACTAGTTCTGTTTTTCTGCAGAACCCTAATTGATACAAGAATCTTTTCCTATTTATTTACTATTTGTTTCATCTTCTGAAAAACATTAACTCTACTGGCCTATTTTTCTACTTTCTTTTTATTTGTAGGAGAGCTAAAAGCCAATAAAAACATCCTAAATATCTATCCATTCTCATTGCCTGAATTATAAATGTATTCCAAATATGTGCTCTGCTATTTTATCATTTTTAAAAAGCCAAATTTATCACTCTTTTCCTCCTAAAGTTTGTTTTTTATGCCATAATAAATCCTAACTAACCAAAGTCAAAAAGAATC